CCTAAGACATGCACCAGTTTTAGGATGACACCTCTAAAATTTGCTGCCAGAGGATGGGAGAGGAAGAAATAGGCATGTGCTGACATGATTGTTCATGCTACAGCTGTAGTAGTGATATATCCTATTCCTGCAGACATTGATTTCCTGTAAAGCACCAAAAGACAGAGCCTTAGAGGGCCAGCCACCAATAACAGCTCAGATTTTTACCATTTTTTGACAGTCCCCACCTGGCTGCTCACTAGTTAATGACTATGCTAGGTGAGAGCCCCTCCCCCCCCCCCCCCCCCATTCACACATACAATTGGTCATGGTAGTAAAGTACCTGTTAAAACAACACTTTGGAATGACTTGCGACCATGCCTGCGTTAAGAATCACACAACACAGGCGCTACCCTTTGTTCCCTCTCCTCCCTCCATGCGCAAGACCAGGCCAGTTCCGCAACGTGTCGTGACTTTCAAAGCTGGACCCAAACAACCAGGGACCCTGCAGACAGCTGGAAAAGCTGGGACAGACGAAAATCAAAACTCACTGAAGAGCAGCTGCCTCACATAGATCGCAACGCATGTATGATGCACCCAGGTATATCTTAAATGACATAAAATCCAGTGAAACACTGGTACGTGTACGGGGGGGCGTGATCAATGCCCGCCCTATTAGTCCGCCTTCTCATTGCCAATCTTAGGCGAAAGTAAACACCAATAACTGTCTCGTGTGCGCAATATCTGAATAGCATATGCTGCTTTCCGGATATGGCAGCACAAAATTACAATATGAGTCAGAGAAAAACAAGGTCGACCTGAATTTGGGGGTTGCTAGTAACGTGTACTTTGATTTTCGACGTGAGAACCTCTAAATGGAAACAAAGGTCTAAGACAAGAGGACAGATTCGTAGACCATGTAATAAATTGTCACATAGCACGTCCGAACTACCCTAAGGATACCAAAGTTTCTTGTTGATTAGCGTTACGCCGTGTACCGCTGCTTTACCCGGTGCGGTATATACCCATTACCAATTATCTGAGTTCAAACAAGCGGCAAACCCTCCAAGATTGAGCTAGCACATTGAACGCAACGACGACCTTTATCGCTTTAGGCCCGTTTCCATCTCTATGACCACTCGGCCGAACCCGGTTCGGTCGTGCAAAGTTGATCGTTCGCCCAGCTTCGTGGCCGCGCTAGGATAAACAATCCGCCAGCTGACGCGGGCGCGGCTGCTCCCCTCGCCTGCGCCAGCGGCCGGGAGGGACGCCGGGCCGTCCGACGTCGCTCCGCTCGGTGCCGCTCCGCGTGTCGGCCTCACCCGTGGCCAGCTTAGCCTGTAGCTCCGCTGCTAGTGAGGTGGTGCGGGCGGCCGTACTGGTGACTGGGGCATCTCAGCAGCGCGGCCATGCTCGCGTCGGACAGTGGCCGGTGGCTGCTGCTAGTCATCGTGGTGGTGCTCGTGCCACGCGGCACCGCCCGCTCCCACGTGGCGCTGGTGACCACGGACCAGGAGGCCGAGCCGCTGGTGCTGCAGCTGGCGCAGCTGCTGGCGGAGGACCACCACGTGACGGCCGGTGCTCTACAACAGCAGCGGCGTTGGCCCCGACCGGCAGCGGTCCGCGTGGTCCGCGTACCGGCGGCCGCTTCCGACCCGGCCAGCCGCATCAGCTGGCTCGACCGCTGGGAGCGCTACCCCCTGCTGGCGCCGGACGCCGTCGTGGCGTCGCGCGTGGCTGGCTGCGGCGCGCGGCGAGCCTCGAGCCTGCTGGCCGACTTTCGGCCGGATCTCGTCATAAGCACCCTGTACCTGGACGACGCCTGCCTGCTCGGCCTCCTGCCGGACCGCGCCGGTCATCGGCCTGCTGGCCGTCGCCGGTCGGCCTGCCCTGGGGTCACGTACCAGCTGGGAGGGTCACTATCCCGTCAGCCGGATACCTGTGCACGGTTACCCGCTCGGCGACGCCGACTTCTACGCCCGGCTCGGCAACGGCTGGCGCTGGTGGACGCTGCTGCGGCGCGTTACAGCGGCTGTACCAGACGCCCGTGGCCAGCGGCGCCGGCGGCCACCTCGACCTCGAGAAGGCGTACGACCGCGTGGCCGCCGTCTACGTCAGCGGCGACGCCCGGCTGCCCGCCGAAGTTGCCGGCCGACAGGCGGATCCGCTTCTCGGCTGCATCGAGTGCGCCAACTTTGCGCCGCTGCCTAAGGTGGGTGAGGGCACTGTGTTTTGTGGGATTTTTACGCCACTCCTTCTCCAGTCCGGTTTTTGCCTCCGAGCGTAAGGCTCGCATGCAGGCGTGTGACCGGAGCCCTCAAAAGATCCCAGGATCCCACTACCACAAGGCCATATGGAATCCTGGATCCACACTTGGGGTTCCGGCACATGTCTGCTCAATGTGTCGCAGGTTGCCATTGACGGCACATTCGTGCTCACTGCACTCCTCATGCAACACATGGCGACCAGTGTACCGAGTCAAGCCCACTGAAACCATTACGAGCGTGTTGCCTGCGTCCGCCAGAAGCTGATGTCGACGATCGGCGGGGGCAGCCTGCTGGTGATCCGGCTGCATCACCCGCACGTCACGCTGCCGGCCGCCTTCAAAGTCGCGCTGGCGCAGGGCGCCGCTAGTTCGTCGCTGACGCCGATAGATGTCAGCAACGCACCAGTGCCGACGCCGACCGGGTCATACACAACGGGGTCCCGGCGGGCCGACGCGCTCGGTGAGGTCACCGACGGCACTGGAGGAGGTCACCAGTGATGGGTACTCTCGGCGATGTTTTGAGGTGATGGGTACTAGATACTCTCGGTGAAGTCACCGCGGGGGGAGCGTTAGTGTCAGGCTCTCTCAGTGACGTCCTGAGATGCGCTAGAGGTCGCTGAGGGGGAGAATCGGTGGCAGACGCTCTGTGAAGCCCCGCGTCGCACCGGATGCCCCTGTACTGAATGATCGGGGACGCTCGTACCCAGGTTCAGGAGCGGTACCGAGGTCCCATTCCATGACCTTCCGTCCGCCTCTGAAGCCGGCAGCTCCGCCGAGCTAACACCCTACACCGCCTCTGAGTCAGCAGCTCCGCTGAGCTAACCTCTACGCCGCCTCTGAGCCAGCAGCTTCGCTGAGCTAACCCCTACGCCGCCTATGAGCCGGTAGCTCCGCCGAGCTAGCGCCTATTGCCGCCTCTGAGGCCGGCAGCTCCGCCGGGCTAACCCCTACGCCGCCTCTCCGACAGCCCACTCCCGGGCGCGCGTGTTCATCAGCGATTGCTCGGCCTCGTCGGGTGCTGCTAGGCCGTCCACTTCAGCGTGCCGCTCGTCTGCATCCCCTTCACGGCGGACACAAGATGGCTGCCGCCAACGCCGCCTCGCGCGGTCAGTCCCAGGCGGTGGGAGGGGGAGGGAAACGCCAATTGGAGTGCGCGACGGGATAGGCGAGTGTTTTTAAGCAGGCAGGTTGCGCGTTATTCCGCCAGAACCCAGTTAGCGACATCACCATTGCAGCGTGGCACAATGGCATGTTTTTTTCAAAGTTCGGACCGGTGTTAAGTTGAGCCGATAGATGGCCATGTCGCGTAAACCATCCAGAGTAGAGGCAAAGGGTTGTTTGAGCATTCTTGGATCTCTTGGAGTGTTGAAACTACGACGGAGTTGGATCGTCCTCATTCCTCACAGCCGACCGTCTCCTCCAGGTCTCGGTGTGGAGGCGGATCTTCCCTCCATCTCGATAACAGCCGACCCTCTCCCCAGGGTCTCGGTGTGGGAGGGTGACCCGTCCCTCCCTCTCGTACAGGCCGACCCTCTCCTCCAGTCTCGGTGTGGAGGTGGATCTTCCCTCCCTCTCGTACAGCCGACCCTCTCCTCCAGGTCTTCGGTGTGGAGGTGGATCTTCCCTCCCTCTCGTACAGCCGACCCTCTCCTCCAGGTCTCGGTGTGGAGGTGGATCTCCCCTCCCTCTCGTACAGCCGACCCTCTCCTCCAGGTCTCGGTGTGGAGGTGGATCTTCCCTCCCTCTCGTACAGTCGGCCCTCTCCGCCACGCCTCAGGGTGAAAGTGAACCGTCCCTCCCTCCTTCTCTCCCTTACAGCCGATCCCTTTCGCCGGCCTCGGTGTAGAGGTGGGCCGTCCCTCCCCTCTCGCAGCCGACCTCTCCGTCAGACCTCAGTGTGGAGGTGGACCGCCCCCCCCCCTCACAGCCGACCCTCTCCTCCAGGCCTCAGTGTGGAGGTGGACCGTCGCTCCCTCCCTTCCTCGCAGCGACCTTACCCGCCAGGCCTCGGTGTAGAGGTGGGCCGTCCCTCCCCCCCCCCTCCACAGCCGACCCTCTCCGCCAGGCCTGCGTGGAGGTGGACCGTCGCTCCCTCCCTCCCTCGCAGCCGACCCTCTCCGCCAGGCCTCAGCGTGGAGGTGGACCGGCCCCCCCCCCCCCCCGTCACAGCCGACCCTCTCCTCCAGGTCTCGGCGTAGAGGTGGAACCGTCGCTCTCTAACGCCCGAGTCGCTGCGGGCCGCCATCACCTCCGTGACGACCAGCGCCGGCCTGCGGCGCGCCGTTCGCCGTGCGCGCGGACGCCCTGCGCCACGACGCCATCTCGCCGGCCGCCCAGTTCTCGCACGACGTGCACCACCTGCTGATGTTCGGGCGGCCGGCCGCGGCGGCGCCGCCCACTCGGCCTCGTCGAGTACTACTGCCTGGACGTGGTCGGCACCTGTCTGGTCAGTGGCGGACTGGGCGCCGCGCTGCTGATGCTGCTCTTTCGGCTGGCTCTTCCGCGTGCTCTCCGGCCGCCAGGGCCGCGATGTCAAGGCCAAGGTGGAGTAGGCCGGCCGGCGCAGGGCGCGGCAGACGCCGCGGTGCCGCCCAACTGTCCGCAGCGCGACTCGAGTGTGTCTTACTTTATCTGTGCAGCCGCGTCAGCCCTGCTTGGCCGCCGCTGTTCCTCAAATACCAAACCGCTATACAAATGGTTTATTAATGCACATACACCTGAATGACACGATAAATAATGGCAATAGGCAAGCGCGGCGTGGTCTCACATATCACATGGCGCCGGCTGCGCGCGCGCGCGCGCCAGCGCGGCAGGTCCGCCTACCGCCGCCAGTACTGGGCGAACTTGTGCAGCTGTTCGACGAGAGGCGGCCATCACGGCCGTCACCGACACGTCGATCATGTTCTGCATGTAGCCGACCGCCTCCTCGTCCGAGAGGTCGAGCCTGCAAACAGGTGAGAGGGGAGCGGTCAGGCGGCGGGGCGCGGCCAGCGGCGACGGACGGACGGCGCCTGTGTCACCGGACAGACACAGGCGCTGGCCGCCGCTGGGTCAACCAGCACTGCATAGGGCCGAGCAGGTGGTGATCCCAGCGATGGGAGTTTCGTTGAAGTTATGAAACATCAGTAAGGTGGTGGTTTAACCCAGCGAGCGAGGGCGGGGGTGGATCCCGCCCCCTCAGAGGTTTCGCTGGGTTCTCCGAAACGGTTTGGAGCGGCTGCAGGAATTTTAGGACATTTTCTAGACATCTTACTTACGTACTGAGGCAAACTGTCACATTCAAGGCAAGCGCAGGGAGCGATTTCACGCCCCGGCATTGGGAGGGAGCTCCAGTGCAATTGGGCATCATCCGAGATGTTAATTTGCCATGGATTACGCGTTTCATACATCGTGTTGCGTTTACGCGACTGACTGATGTTTACGACAAATAGGACGGTGCAAAATGAGTACAATGATTGCAAGATGGCAAAGGCAGCATGTCGGAGCGATTTCAGGGCACGCCATAGTGACGTTATAATGTGTATTAGGGGTCGCTAATGCCGATATATCATAAATGCATTCAGCACTCACCTAGATCTACCCTAGACCTAGAAATCAGCAGTCATTGGTCCGCGTTGGTTACGTCGAGGCCAGTTGACGAACGTGGCAACTGTGTCAGATTAAAAATGCCTTCACATTTTGAGGTTTTCGAGACCCTGTTGCCTAGTTCGACTTGTGGTACGTAGGCCGAAAAAAATGGCATCCCGTCGATTTTTTCCACAAGCCGCCCAGTAGTTCTGAAAAGACCTAAGAGGGGTGAGGGGGGAGATCGAGGTCCCCCCTCCCACCCAGATTAGTGTCCACAGGACACCGTCCGAAGCAGAGCTAACCTCAGCTTATTCGCCACACGCATTAATTCTAACTAAGTGATCTCATTAGTATTGGATCACAACATCTCGAATCACAATGGGCAGCGTCATGCTGACGTTTTTGCCGCCGCATGACGTGCTGCCTGTCGCCGGGCCGGGCCCATGGAGCGGCGCTTCTGATTGGCTGGCCGCCTGCGCCGGCCGGCGACGCGCGGTCTGCCCGGCGGTCAGCGACACCTGAGGCGGTGGCCAGGCGGTGGCCACCCGGCGGCCGCCGCCTCATGGTAACACCACGGTTCGCCACAGGTGGTGCGCCAATCAGGTCAGCCATGTGGTCTCGGCGTCATTAGCTGCGCTGAATAGGTCATGCATATGATCTGTAGCAGCTACACCACACCGGGGCCGGGTCGGTGAACGGGGGCTCGCAACAGCTGTGGTATGGGTGTTATACGACCGCGCAGACGACGCTCCCGGAGGCATCGATACTTGATTAAGCGCTCTGGACGTCCGAAGGCTCTAATATACCGGAACTGAGGTGAGGTTGTGCAAGCAATAAACATATTGTGGACTTAATGGTCAGTTTTTTTATTTAAACGTAGGCATATGGCAATGAACAGCGGTCCAGTGAATTTCAGGACGAGGCCCCGATGTAGGTAATCCGAGAAACAATCGCAGGGGCCCAATATCAGCTGGGATATAATTGTGGCATTATACGCCGTTCTGCACCACTTCAGGCTGTGACGAACACGATTAATTATTACGAATATGTTTGATGTTCATCGAATGTAGCGCCATGGGTCGTAATCAACTTGAATACGCCCTAAGCAAAAGCAACGTTTTCACCCCAGCGGAACTCGCGCCTCCGTCACCAGGCGGACGTCAGACCCATGTCCACCCTGGCACACCTCGAGCGGTCGTGTTCAACGGGCCAGGCCGGCGGACGTCGGTCGCGGGCCTCATCCGAGCTTGTCTCGGTCCAGACGCGGCCGGGGCCCACCCTGGCAATGTCCTCACCACGGGCGGGGCCTCATCAGTCGCGGCCTCACCCGAGCGTCTCGGCCCAGACGCGGCCGGGGCCCACCCTGGCAATGTCCCCACCACGGGCGGGGCCTCATCAGTCGCGGGCCTCACCTGAGCTTGTCCCGGCCCAGACGCGGCCGGGGCCCACCCTGGCAATGTCCCCACCACAGGCGGGTCCTCATCAGTCGCGGTCGCTGGCGAGCTCGCACCTGACTGGGCCTGCGCGGCCGGCGGGCTGACCTGACTGGGCCTGCGCGGCCGGCGGACCTGACCGGGCCTGCGCCGCCGGCGGGCTCTGACCTGACCGGGCCTGCGCCGCCGGCGGGCTCTGACCTGATTGGGCCTGCGCCGCCGGCGGGCTCTGACCTGACCGGGTCTGTGCCGCTGGCGGTCTCTCACCTGAACTTGTCCTGCACCTTGCGCACCGTCTTGTCCGGCTCCAGGGCGATGTCGGGGATGTTGGCGTCCACCATCAGCGAGAACAGGTGCAGGATGACGTCCGCGTGCCTGGCGGCGGCGCAGCGCGCGGTCAGCGCGAGCGGCGGCGGCGGCCAGCCGCGCGGCACGACGCGTGATGTCGGCGCACGGGCCCCAGCCGCGGCGGCTCGGACCGGCACTCAGGCGTTCGCGTGACCGAATATCACATCAGATCACGTGAGCACGGGAGCGCGGACATCTCGGTTCGAGACCAAGTTACTCGGCCACCGGCGGCGGCCGCTGGACGTGACGGGTGCAGGGGACGCACAGCCACGGCTCCAAGTCAGCGGGGACCGTCGCGTCGTTGGACACCACGGTTGCCGTGCGACAAGGCCGCCTCGAGCGTGGGCAAAGCTGGGCCCAACTCTGCAATCACCGAAACATGTGGGCCCGTTCAACAGCTGCAGACCTCTACCCCATTGGCTAATGATTATGACATTTCGTGCTCAGGGGCGCGTCGATTGCGTGACTATTCAGCGCGCCCCGAGCCCCTCTATCAGCGTTCCCAGCGCGGGCCCGGCCGTCACCTCCTGAGGTGGAGGAAGGCGGTGTAGCACTGCTTGCGGAACGTCTGGTAGTGCTCCGAGTTGACACCGCCCATCGCCTCCACCATCTCCTTGCTGAGCTTCATGGGCGGCGGCAGCGGCTTGGGGTCGCGGCCCAGGATGTAGCCGAAGTCAACGTGGAACAGGTTGCCGTCCTTGGTGAGCAGCAGGTTGTCCAGATGTCGGTCCCCGACGCCCAGCAGGTACGTGATGACGCAGTAGCCGGCTGGGGGAGGCGACACGGCGCCGTCAGCGGGCGCGGCAGGGGCACACGGGCCTGGCGCGTGGAACAGCGAGGCACACAAGCCAGGCCAGCTGATGGATCTGTAGAGCTGAACCAGTCAATTTTTACGAGGCGTGCCTGACGGGGAAGTGTGTAGACCGGCGGCCTCTATGTACTCCATATGAGATGAGTTGAAACGCGCCACCGGTAAAAACGTCTGCACTGCGTGCAGTTGACACACCCCTCACACTTCTGGCATCTGGCTTACGTACGACACTTCGCACGACAACTAAGCCTCGCGCTCTAAGATCAACAAACACCCCAATACATCACCACCGACCCAGCGCGTCTGCAGAGGAACAAAAACTAAGTGCATCTGGTGTCAGTGCTTGCACTGACCACCCTGTCACAGCCGCGCAAAGCTCCAGCTGGCCCGCTGCGGATTCTCCAGCGGTCGCGCGGTGGCCGCCTGACACTGCCGCCCGGCGGTACGCACCGCAGCTGCGGATGTAGGTGTCCATGACGTCGGCGCTGACGCCGTACGGCCCCGCCTCCGACGGGTGGTGCTTGCGGAAGAAGTTGAGGATGCTGCCCTCGGTGCTGAGCACCTCGGCCACCGCCGAGGACTCGACGTACTGCACGAACCCTGCGGCGACCGCGGCGCCGGCGGTCAGCGGGTGACGTCAGACCACTGACGTCACACGTCAGCGGGTGACGTCTGACCGCCGACGTCACGGCAGCGCACGGACAATCCGGCACTATGACAGTGAGCATTAATCACACATGCTCCGTACTGTACCGCAGCAATGCACTTGTAGAGGACTCCCGCCTGCTCCCACAAGATAGTTTTTTTACAGGACAATGCGAAAATCTATCCAGTATCTATGATGCTGCCAGCTCAGGCCCTTGTGAGAGCAGTGACCAACGAGCTTCAGAAACAAAACAAAACAAAAAATACATCTGTGAATTCACCAGCGGCCAGAACTTCTGGTCGTTCCTTAATACGCCACCGTATAAATGCACTGCGGTCCATGCAT